ACATTAAGGCTATGATTAGTTAATACCTTGAAGTTTAAAGGCTGTCATTAAAACTTTAATTCTTAATGTATAGAGCTAAGTCTTGTTATAAAGAATTCTTCACAAAAAAAGAATTCCCAGATTCTAGAAATTGGAAATACTTTCATGTTTTACCATAAAGTTATGGCTAGTTTACTACATTTTTAAAATTTTACAATCCTTTCACATGTACTCATAGCAGTGTGTTATTATAAAGGTATTATCTCATTAGCTTAAGGCTTCTTAAACCCTATTCTTCATTATCAGAAACATTAAGAAGTTCACCCTGAAAATTTGCCCTAGGCTACATCTCAATCCTGTATTAGATCCTCTAGTTTGATATGAAAAGAATATTAAGCAATGTTGGCATGCTTCACAGTTCATGACAGAAGGCCTGTATTGCTGGTAGATTTAGAAATTTGCCTCTGGGTTCACTAGGTTATCACTGTGTATCCTCTGGCCTAGGCTTTTTATTTTTGAAAGAAAGACAATGGTATTTTGTTTTTCATTGAAAAAATATGCAAATACTCATTTAAATTTTGAAAGCAGTCAGAGTAATACAGACATGCTTATTTCTATAAGTGTCTCTGATGGCATTTGATCTGATGAAAATATTTGTTTCCATTGCTGATGGCTTAATAAAAGGCCTTGCAAGCTGTAGGACCAGAATTTCCAGATTCTCGTGTTTCACATACCTGCCCACATTGCCTATGCCTAGGGAACAATTGGCATTTTCAGTTGCACCCAAGTCAGTCGTGCACCATAGTATGAATTTTGGTCATGTTAGCTAGAGTATATATACTTGATTACCTATCTTTACCCATGACTTCTGGATCCATGCACACTAATGCCTTTGTTTTTCATCCTACTGAGTGTTCCTTATGTAGTTTTGCACTGCCCTCATTGAAAGAATATGATTTTGAGAAATGAGAGAACAATAACAATTGTTTATCATTCCTAATAATTCTGATCTGCAGTCACCATCCAGACAGTCCTCTAAAATGTGCCGCAGTAAACCTTTGTATCTAAAGGCAAGTCACTGAAGAGGTGTGTGTGGGGGGGGTGTTTATTCATTCATCGATGTACTTCTATCCTTATACTTGTGTTTGAAGCTGGAAGGAGAGAGAAAGAGATAAAAAAGAAAGAGGGAAAGAGCAAGGTTATCTGCCCCAGTACTCTGAAGAGGGAGGAGGTTAGGTTCCTTAGTTATTACAAAATAAAAGACTTATTTCTGATGAATTTGAATTGCAATTACAGAACCCTAGTAAACCGCATTATGTCCCAAGGGTTGCATCAAAAATATACACCATTCATAGAAATCATTTGAATTGTTTTGAAAACCTTAGTAGCTAAATATAAAATCAATTTATGAACAAATATAAATCGTTACTGGTTGTCCATTAGTGTTAGCTGTTTCTCTACAATGCACAGGGATCATTTCTAAAAGTGAAACAAATGGCTTGTGGCTATATCTAATGTGCTACTCACTTTCAAGTTTTCTTTCTTTTACAGAAGTGAATAACAACAGTTAAATTTTAAAGATAAACAGTTTTTTGATTGGGTTTCTGGAGAATAATGATACTTTTGTACAATTCTTGAAATAGAGCCTACAGTCATCCCAAACAAAACCGTCTCTTTCAATATTTTGGAAATAATGACATCATAGGCAGATTGAACCAGCTATCCATTAATAGTATTCTTTGTATAAAGCTATTTCAAAAGAGGACCTGGCATAGTAAATTGGTATTGTTTACAAATAGAATTCTCTTTTCTGCATTTGTGGAAGAGTAGAAGATACCTCCTCTTGGGAAACAGGTACATTGACACTAAGACTTCTTCCAGGTCCCTACCTTTTTACAAGCATAGAAGTATGCTTTGAAACCCTTGTTTCATAGGTAGGTTACAGGTAGCAAGAACCCTCTGCACTATTCTTTGGTCACCAAAACTGAGTTGTCTTGAATTACTAGAAGAAAATGGATACTGGTTGTGCATTGTAAAGCATACTAAAGAACTAAATTAATATGAGAATAATTCAAGCAAAACCAAGCCTGAAATGTCTAGGTAAATTAATAAATTATGTGATTTGTGTTTTTCCAGTGGGGAACTGAACATGTGTTCTTTAGTCTCATTTGCTTCATATTTGTAAAGGATTTATTTGAAGGGAATTGAAACAGTTCCACTACAGTGGGAAGAAAAATGGTCTAGCATATAATGTAAGTTTTTGCTGAATGTGACACAACCATAACGAATATATCTCATACGGTTGAAATTTTGGTTAAGGATTTCTAGTGCACAGTCAAAGAACATATTTTGAGTTTTCTATTCCAAGTAGTCTTTCTTCTCAACTTAAAATATACCTGGTCAAATAACATCAGGGTAACCAGGGAGCCTGAAAAGAAGCAGGGCATGTACCTGCTTCTCTGGTTAGCGAATGTAATTAGCAATGAAAAAGGCCACTGTGTTGTGAGCCACACCTGTTTATCAAGAACAAAGGAGCATAGTATTTTAAATTATGTAGTTGCCCTAGAACCGTGCCTGGCCCAGACTCTTTCTTACCTTATTATGCAAGATCAGCTTTGTGTTAAAGAGAACTGTGTATCCTCTGACTTTTGCCACCTCAAGTTAAGCAATCAGAAAGTTAACTCAAGTTAAGTGTCATCAGAAAATATAGATCATCTAGAAAGTAGTGGTTCTCTGTTCCTTTCCAATAACTTTCAAATTTCATTTTTTAGCAAGCTAGATTTTGTATATCTGATATAATGACCCCATATTTGGAAATTATTTTTAAAACCAGAAAAATCAATCTGGTAGCAAATTCTTCTTAGTGGCAAAGTTAAAACTGCGTGCCTGTCCAATATAAAATAGTAGCACTGGCAAAGTCAGTCTTAAAAGGTAAGTGAACTTATAAGAACAAAAAATCAAATTGCAAAAGAGAATGTGTACATGTAAGCACTGGTTTCATGTTCTTGTTAAAATATTTACTTAATGCCATTAGTATCTATGCATAGATTTTGTCAGTGACATCAGGGTTGCATTTTCTTTGTACCTCATGTTTTAGTTTCACCTGTATAGCAAAATATGAACCTTATTAAGTGGTGGGGACAAAACATTTATTACATACTTTCATTCTAGTGATTCCTGAAAAAAAATCACATTTTTTTCTTTGTGTGACAAGATTTCTCTATGTAGTTCAGGCTAGCCTTGACCTCATTTTGTAGCCCAGGCCTAACCTCAAACTTGCAGAAATCCTCCTGACTCAGCCTCCTGAGTGCTGGGATTGCAGATGTACACCTCTAAATCCAGCCCACAATTGGTCTTAATTCATTAAGATAATGTGAGACATGACAGGCAAAAGAAAAGAGATATCCTGCCCAGGTCCAGATCAAACTAGATCTCTAATCTGGTTGTCAGCCATCTGTGTAGAATGAGAAGATATTCATGTCCCCATCTTGTACTGTGAATAACCACTGCAAGGACAACAATATGCAATTTATTAATTATTGTAACTGTCTTACTAACCCATTTTGGAAGGCAGCTATGCTCACCACTATACCACCAATGCCACACTACTAACCTGTTTTGAAACTGTCTCATTTCTACTTCATTCTCAATGAAATTAATAAAATAAAAATTTTGCCATTGTGAAAGAAGAGAAGATATTAATTGGTAATGTATTATTCAATAATCATAGACTATATGTATTTTAGTAAATTTAGGATATAATGATTTTTTTTTAAATTTTAGGTGGCATGAAGTAACATAAACTTCACTACTGAAAATAATAAAACAGACTGTAAGAGCAAAAAGGCTAAAAACATTTATTTTTAATTTCTTATTTCAACAGTTAAAGGGGAGATCTGTTTTTGCCATTGCTATTGTACTTAGATGTGCTGTTAATGTTAGAATAAAGTTACATGTTAAGTCATATTTGGAGACATAGTTATGTTCTTAAATTAGCAGCAACTGACACTTGATAAATTTAGGGATTTCATTATAATGGGACTTAGTGTTCCTTGTATTCAAATGAGGGATTCACTTGGAAGGCATTCTTAACACTTGACTTGTGCAGTTAAGTGTTAGGGTATAATGGAGGGATTTGGATTAGAATAGAATACCTAGAAATGAATATTTCCTTAAGGAAAACATACTTTTGCAGTTCACTTCATCTTCCCAGTAGAATCAAATGTAAATGCAGAGTCCTTGGTGAAAGAAATTAAGGACAATTCCGAAAACCTAGACTGGATCTTGTAACACAGATCCTTCAGTCAGCTCCTCTTCTAAGACATTAACTTCAGGGGGTAAGGTTATGCTATCTCCTCCCAACATGTCTTCTCTTTATTAATGGTGACATTCAGCCCACTCTTTTCTTTTACTTGCATTTTGTAAATCAGAAATGAAAATATGAAGAAACAATACCAAGAGCATCCCAATGTTCAAGCAGTTAACAGATCATATTTTGGGGTCATTAAAAATCAAAAGCTAATGCTAGCGATATGGGTTCATTGGTAAAGCATATGCAAGACCCAGCATTTGATCCCTAGTACCACAAAAAAACACCAAAAAACAAAAAACCAAAAGCCAAACATATTCATTCCAAATCTTGAGTAGTTTCTGTCACTTGACTAACATGATAACAAGACAGAAATTTTAAAGAAGAAATAGTTTTTCCATGAGACTATGAATGACTAACAGAAAATTAAGTTTCACTGTTAAAAAAAGTGGAAGAGTTTAGTTGTTTGTGTACACATGTTGAAAGGTCATTAATTATTGTCTTGATTTCCCTCTTTTGGAAATTATTTCCCTGGTCTTTGGCAAGTCAGATTCCCCCTGTCCAGAAAAAAAAGTCTCAAAATAATATACATAGAACCTGAGACAACATGAGATCAATGCTGTTTTTTGTAAGGTGTTAGAATCCCCATATTTACTAAATTTATATTAGGATTCTCCTTCCTTAACCCCTGTTTTCTCCTACTGTTCTTTAGGAGCTGTGAACTGAAAATGTCTGACGGTCTGGATAATGAAGAAAAACCCCCAGCTCCTCCATTGAGGATGAATAGTAACAACCGAGACTCTTCAGCACTCAACCATAGCTCCAAACCACTTCCCATGGCCCCTGAAGAGAAGAATAAGAAAGCCAGACTTCGCTCTATCTTCCCAGGAGGAGGGGATAAAAGTAAAGTATCAGTGGCTGGGCATTGAAAAGGGGCTAGTTTATTCTTTCATTGTCACTTTCTTTCTTGGCTGGTTATTTCTTGATCATTGAGGTCCTGTTACGGTCCTTCCAGACATTTATGTCTCCATCTTCCGAGGTTGCATTTGGTCAGAGGATCACGTTTAGATGGTCTTTTGTGGGGCTGACAGAGAAGACACTACTGATGTATTTGCCTTTCACATAAAATTGAATTGATTGAGTTAGCTCATGGGAAATCATAGCAAAACTACTGTCTTGAATATAGCCATAAGGTACAATTTATAGAAAATCCCTCCCTAACTATAAGCTCTCGGTTTTAGAAATTTAAGTATAGGTGAATTTACTTTGTATACGTTTGATTTTGAATTGAATATATAGGAGTCAGTGCAAGTTGCCAAAATCGTCAAGTTGTCAGTCTGTATCACAAGGTGGGAATAAATTGAATATTGCTTTTTCTTATTCTTTTGCTTGTTGACTCCTATGCAATCAGTCTCATGTGCACCAATGATCACAACAATATCCTTTACCTATGTGGTATTCTTAAATCCATTTGGTACTAAAATATCTTATGCTAACTCTCAATGATTCATGGGGATATGAAATCTCTAGCAAATAATTGTCAGGTCAGGTCATATTAACTAGCATAAAGAAAAAACATGATTTCTGTAAATGTGACCATTGACATGTGAATGAAGCAAGTATAAAGGCACTAATGTCACAGAATGTCACCTAAAGGGCCAGGAAGTTGATATATTTAGAAAAGGGATACTCTTAATCTACTCCTTCAAGATAAAGCAGGTAGCTTTGTAGGTGGCTTATATGGTGTTACTATGGTGCAGTTTGTCATGTGGAAAGCAGAAACCCTGATAAGGGCCAGTATTACCTCTTATACACCAACAACGTGCTTTATCCCTTATGACCTCTGGATGGAAAAGATGGAAATAACATTAAACTACTATATTGAAGATACGCAAAAGAATATTGAAACATGTTGGATGCAAGGGATCTATGACTCTACAACAGGATTTTTTAAAGCCAAGTTTGCTGACACTGAGGTGGATCTGGAAAAAAATAGGAGCAACTTTAAGAACTCGTTAAGAGTTTAAGATGTACCATGATCTAGAGAGCAACTGTTATGTGACACTGGTACCAAAATGGGGACCTCCTTTGGTGCACCCTCTGCAGCTGCAGGAAGTGATCCAAGAACAGTACTATGTACCTGCACAGACCTTTGGTACTCTTAAGATCGCTGTGGTTTGGGCACACTTGAATAATCCTACTTGACTTTTTGAATAACAAAAGCCAACTAGTGCTGACATGAGGTCAGCAAAAACAAAGAGGCTGACATTTCTGTTTTGTGGCAATTCTTCAGGTGAGCTCATGGTGAAATCATTGCTGCTCAGTGGAAAACTGTGCCCAGATTTTCTCAGGGGAAATCACCGTGCCAAGTTTCCAGTGTACAGACATGCAAACAGAAGAGGCTAAATGACTCTTCTCCTTAAGAGTTAATTTAATCAGTACTTTCTTGTAGAAATTTCTGAGTAATTAAAATTTGAATTCAAAGTCCTGTTCATTCTTCAAAGTCCATTTAGTGCTTCGTATGAATTTGCAAATGTGTATGCTAGTGTAAACATTGTCTTAACTAGCCATATCTCAGATCCTTGCATCTTTAGACTAGTGTTTGAGTTAGTCATTCAAGAAATAAATATAACTTTATTGTTTAAAATCTCACAAAATTTGATCATCTTAAAATTCGAGTGTAAGATTGTTATACTATCAATAATTCTATATTCTCAATCAAACATGCATGTTTGCAAGCTGGGAAAGGACTGGACCAGAGATGGTAAAATATCTTTACATGATCCCACCCAAAGATAAAGCATCATTGCTCAAGAAGAATCTGTGGATGAGTGTGAACACTGTAACAGAATCAGCTATGGGCTACGGTTGAATCCAA